CTTCTAGGCTCCTCGCAGCGTGCGCTCCTCCCCCAGTCTGTCTTTGTTCCCCCTCGAGAGACTACCTGCAACAATTTGTAACGAGCTTTTGTTTTATTTTATTGTATTTTGTCAGAGTTCGTTCATCCACTCCACTGAATGACACACATGAGGTTTTATTTCCCCGCTCCTTCCCTTGTCTATCTATATGAGCCGCCCCCTTCCCCCTCTGTCACTCCAGTCTCGCCTTGTCTCGGCTCTCCTCCTGCTGCCTTCAGGGACACATCGTAAATTTCCCTTTCACTGTTTCTCAACCAGCTCCTTTTAATATTAATTAACGTAAATAAATAAATAAAATGAGAAAAATCACATCGTAAGTTTCAAATTTAGATTCACGGGTTCCAAAATAGTTTGTCAAGAAATTTGAACAGTGTCTAGTTTGCAGCAATGGGTAAAGTATGTCTAATCTTAACGACCTAAGGGACATAAATGTGTAACTCTTAACCTCCTTGATATACCTTCTGCATTGTGATGTAATTCCTTTTAGATGGTCATGTTTATCTGTAACCCTGACATATAGAGATGTTATCAGCTGGTAAAACTCAGCAGGCTGCGCTTTGCTTAAAATCTATTAAAGCTTAACTTCTCTAAAAAAAAAAAAAAAAAGTACTGTTTTAATATTTATTAAATTATTTTTATGAGGTCTGAGCAACCATTTCACCTTTTTCTCTTTTTTTTTCTAGACCTCTAGCACAAAAACGAAAGGAAACAAAATTACTTGCATCTATTCATCCAACCATGAGTACTTTTATTTTAAAAACGTGCATTAAAGTAAATGCTTGCTGACATATTAAGAAACTTCTTAGTTTTGATACACTTAATAAATGCTTGAAAAAAAATATTATTTTATATTTCATCAAAAGCTTATTGACGATAACAAATCAAGGAAAAGTTGACATATTTGGAGCAATATTTTTTTACATAGTTAAAGGAAAGCTCTGTGTTTACACCTTGAAGGTTTCTCTCTCCGGTTCTTTTCCTGAGAAGAGACCACTCGGAACAAACTCCTTAATTAACACTTCATAATGTATATGTATTATATAACCATGAGACAACAGATTTTGACCGAAATCATAATCTTGCACAGACCAGAGAATTTGCTTAGGGTTACAGAAGGGCTTACATCTCGTTGGAGTAGCCCCGGATCACAATTAAAGAAGCCTTTTATACAGCTCCAGTCTGCCACATCATCACATCATTATATCATAGACTTTTGCAGATGAGGAGACATCCACGGCTCCAGCCTTATCAAAATATTCCAGTTTGTTCTTAGATAAAGGACACAGCTCTCATTCCTAAATCTGCCTTAATCTGCAGAATGAAGATAACCGTATATCCTGACAGTGAAACCGTCCCAGTTAGATAAACTACTTGTTCTGACACGCAACATACAGGTATTAAGAGGGTATAACAGACTCGCGCATCATTAATAAAAATAATCCTAACAACACGACAGAGTTTTTTGGTAAAATAGGTGAAAATCCATGCACAAGGTAGTATTCCAACAGTCCCTGAAGGTAACACTGTGTGCACACATGCTGTGAGCTGCTTGCCTCTTTGGTCTGCTCCCCTCAAAGCATTCCCTCCCTCCCACCCCCTCTGTTTGTCTGAGCAGCACACACTCAGGGTGACGCCTCATGGGGAACCGGCAGGTTGAAAACACGCCATGAATCATCAAGAGCCATAAAAACAGAAACGCCCCTGTAATGGCTCTCAATGCCCTTCTCCATCTCTCCATCCACTCTCTCCCTTTCTCTTATCTGCCTTTCTCACTTGTTTCTGGTGCCTCTGCCTCATTTGGCTGGCATGGCCTTAATGTGTTCAGACACATTTGACTGTGTTAGAAAAAGCGCACAGAACTGTTGCTGCTGCTCTGGAATCACTGGATTAACAGAGGATAAAAAGAGCGTTTCATTCTAGCTCAGTGGGTCAGATACAGAAGATGGAGATATGAGTTTTAACTGTGATCAAAGGGGATAAACTGCAGGAGTGTAGACAGCAAGGATAAAATAACTATATCCATGTGTGCAGAGGAAAATACCAGCAGCAGACACAATGTAGTGATAAAAGCAGTTTAATAAAAGAAGTTTAATGAAATCAAAATTTACAAAAAGATATAAACTCTCAATCATAAAAGTTTAAAAGCTTTGATTTACAAAATCTAATGAACAAGTCTTATCTTAGTAATAGCAAATTACATTTTTCAGATTATTTTCAAACAAATATTTTTACTGAAGTTAAGTTACATCTAAAGGTACTACAAAATACTGTGTTTTGCTTTTACAAAGTTGATGGGAAAATTTGTTCACATTGAGCCTTTGTATTTATTTTTCCAGATTGATTTATGACCCTTGGGGTTCTCCCATCGACTGAAGGGCACAATTAGTCTCAGACGTCAGAATCAGAAGGAGAATCCTTTTCGTCATCCTGCAGAGAAATGAGAATATTGTGCAAAAAAATTAGTCAAAAGGAGTTGATTCCATTCATGTTCCTGCCACAAACAGTTTTAATTTGAGTGGATCAGTTTATTTTCTTCCAAGATTATCTTCCTACTCTGAATTTCTCCATTTCCCTTAAGATCCTAGGTCTTTGTCTTCAGCTTACCACCCATTGAGCCTGTAGGATTGTATCATGGTTGGTTGATTTTGTGACTAGTGTGGCATTTCTGCATAACCTTGACCTTGTGTTTTGGATATTTATTTTTCTCAAAGGCTTAGTGATAATCTATTTCCATTTTCTCTTCCAGTCCATTTGGTATTCAATTAAAAGGCCTTCTTGCTTTTAAGAAAAATTATAATGCTTTTTCTTTTTATTTGCTTTTGCTTTTTATATATTAAAAACCTTTGTAGGTAGAAATTAATAAAGAGTTGTTGTAATTTCTAAGTCAATGGTCTGCAGCCTGTTGCTCTGGAGCTGCAAATGTTTCATAGGACCCTCCACAATGGCTCTTAATAGTGACTAACAATGATAAGGAGCCAACTAAAGGTTTTGAATACAGTAAATTAACTAATACAATTCCTACAAGCTTTAACAGTTTTTAAAGACATAAAAAGAATTTTATTTAATTTTCATAACAGAATTACTTTAAAGAATATGTTTCCAGATCTATATTTCTTGTCATTCGCTTATAATGTAAATAATCTGTTTATTTTTTTAACCTATATCTCATAGAATAAAATCCAAATGCATCCTCTTTAGGAAACTGCTATGTTTTGTACTTATTTAGTGATAAAATTAACTTAAAAAATAATACTTAAAAAATAATAATAATAAATAATTGTGTTTTATTTAAGGTCATGGGGTATTTGTGGCTTTAAACCATTTTTATTTAGCTGGGTTTGGGGTAAAATGGCTCTTTTGTTTTGAAAGGTCGCAGACCCCTGCTCTAGGTATTTTAAAGAATTCATAATTGAACATATTTAGCTATTTGTAGGTAAAACATGTCAACAGCATCATATAACCACTTAATAACTGCCATCTTAAATGTGAGCCTCACCTAGAGTGTTTACTGTAAAAAAGCTCCCTCTGACTCTTGACTGACCAAATCACTTACTTGCACTTTAGCATGTTAAATAATCTCTGCGCTTTTAGCTTCGTGATGGTAGAAGAAAAAGCACATTCTCCTTGTGTTCTAATCTGTTTTTACTTGTGTTATACATAAATAAACATATATTTTTAGGCATTAGAAGAAAGATTTGGTTTCAATACATGTAGTGTAGACCAGATTTCAGCTTAACATTAGATAAAAATGTATTTAAAAGACTAAAAATGTGGATACTGCAGTTACAACATGCACAGCAGAGATTTGTGTGAGTTGGCTCACCGTGTAGATAGGATTCTGGAAAGACTTGGAACTCTCATCCACCGTAGGTTTGATTTGCTGATGAAAAGAAAAAAATCAAGTCTTTTATGCACAAAGAATTTACAATGACTGTTATGATCTTATGAAATGACAAAATTTTGACACATACCTCCATGGCTACCTGTGAGCTTGATGGAACAACATCCTCTGGGGAATGGATAACGACCCCCTGTCAAAAAAAAACACACAGGTACATGTAAGTGCCTGAATCTGAGCAAACAATATGATGTTCTGAGTTTCAAATCCAGAAACACCAACTTCAGAAATCTGCATTATTTTTTTGTTTCAATTGCTCAACAAACCAACCTTAGGAGAACTGCTGGACCAAGATGAACTTTTTGTGGTGTCGTTTGCAGCCTGATCGCCCTCCCCATACAGCGGGTTTACAATGTTCGGCTGAGAAGGGAAAAACATTAAACATTTACCATAACATTTAAACCTTTTCTTTTATATGCACATGTTTTTTTTTACAGTCAGGAACATGAATTTATTTTATGAAATTATTTTCAACAAAAAAAACCTAATTAAAAACACCAGAAAAAATTGTTTTAATAATATATCTTTACAAATCTCCTTTGTAGGAGGTTGCAAGGAGAAATATCTGGTGATTTTTTTCCACCTGAACAAGATGAGGTGTGAGTAGAATAAATATAGAAAACAGATCTTTGTTTATTGACCTTCTTTATACTGAAGGGGTGAGAGGTGGGCGTCGCCTTGCTGTTAGAGTCAAGCTGTCCTTCAGCTTCGTACCCGGGGTTCTCGAAGTTCTTCACCTCAGTGTCAACCATGGACACAGAGATGGAGGAAACCTGCCAAGGCAGAAAATACACTCACGTATTAACACTGTTTATCAACCTAATTTAGAGACTGCAATAACAGATTGGTAGATGCTCTTTTTAAATTAACACCTAGTAAAAATGGGAACTCACTGTATCTAAATCCTGCCTCGATTCATTGCCCTCTGTAGTCTGTCCATTTTGGGAGGATCCCGTCCTGGAAATCATCAAGAAAAACAAAATGTCTCAAAGCTCTGATACAGTCAATGCATACCTAAAAAGCCTTTTAATCCCTTCCCCAAATCCTCAAAAAGCAGAGCTAAATCCAGAGTTAGCAGTGCCTCTGGCTGTGGTCTTATTTAGCAGTAATATTTGTTCCTTATGCATCTATCCTAAAGGATGAAACATTTCACTGCATCAACGTTTTTGCAGGATTTCATTTATTTCCATACCTAAAGCCTGAAAACTTGGGCATGGATGGCATACTGGGCATGCTGGGAAAGCTGCTCTGCAGCCTCTCCATAAGGACGGACTTCTTCCTGGAGGCGTAGACCA